ATTTGGAAAGAACACCGAGGAAATGGAATTGATTTGTGAAAAAAAAATCTGGAATACAGACGACGAGAGTCCAGTAAATCTCCACTGAAAATTTCTCATCAATTAATTAATTGATTCCATTAATTTCCACAATTAAGAATTGGAAGAGAATTGTTAAAATTACCACAAGGAGATAAATATAATAAAAAATATTCACAGGGAAAATGCGAAATGGATGGGCGAAAAATGAACTGTCTTATCGAAATTTCTGAATGATATCCGGATGTTGGTCTCCCCAGTGGCTTTTAAAAGGAGGAAATAACCACTGAAAGCCGAGGGGAGAGAAAAATTTGTTTCCATCCATACGATTTCATCGTTTCATGTCTACACCCTCTGAACCTTCTGGGAAAGCCACAAATCCCCTGATGAAACCAGTGGATTCCTCCACTGGTTTCGTATCCACTGAAAAAAGGATAAAAAAAAATGTGGATAATAATAGTGTGGTTTCTGGATTCCCACGAGGCAATGGCCCCAGTGAACGTATTTATTTTTTATTAAACAAGAGTTACATTTGTACCTCCTCTCAGTAATTAGTTGTAGTCATTTCCCATTGAAGGGACTAACATTTTTTATTACCTTGACAAAGTTATAATAAATAAATCGTGATAATTACATGAGAACTCACGCAATTAGCAGGATTTAGTTATTTTTCATTAGGAATTATTTATTTTTCATCATGATTTATTCATTTTTCATCAGGAATTATTTATTTCTCCTCACGATTTATTTATTTTCTTCAAGATTTATTTATTTTCATCGCGATTTATTTATTTTCATCACGATTTATTCATTTATTATGAAGATTTTTTTTTATCACAATTTATTTATTTTCATGATGATTTATTTATTTTCATCGCGATTTATTTATTTTTATCACGATTTATTCATTTATCATGAAGATTTTTTTTTTCATCACAATTTATTTATTTTCATCTCGATTTATTTATTTTCATCACGATTTATTTATTTGTCATTACAATTTATTTATTTTCTTTTCGATGATATGCACGTGAATATTTGAGGGCGATTTAAAATTTTTGGATTGATTTTTAGAAGGACTTTTGATTTTCGAGAAAAATTGGAGTGATACATCCGCTTTACGTTTTTTAATGAGTTTTATCTCATTGTTATTGCAATTCTGTTAAATTCTTTGTCTCTCCTTATTATACGAGTTAAGCTCCCTTGATTGAATAACTGATGGAAAACTGAAAGCCTCGTTGGCCTATTTTACTTTGAATGCATTATGCAGGTCACATTTCACTCGATTATTCAAACCATGAGTCTGGTGTACTCATGTCATAGATTCACGAGTTCAATTTGTCGCAAAAATATTCCATCTCATTCAGTATTCGACAAGTTGGTGATATTTAGTGGGGAAATTCATAATGCGAATTTACATCGGTAATTTCTCATTTTGAGCTGTCAGTTATCGAAATTACTGAGGCGTAAGGTATTTTAATTAATGGGCTGAATGTGGAATGAGAAATTCGGGCGAGGATCGAGAATTCAATTTGCAGGTTGATACCATTTTTTTATCAATAAATAATTCATCATCATTTGATAATTAATCATTATTATTATTTTTTTCATTTTTCATTAGAAACTTTCATTGCATTTCATTTTTTCGTAAACTCAATTCACATCTTTTGATATTATTAATTATTATCAATATTATTATTAGAATTTTACATTTTTCGTTTAATTTTTTTCCATTGAAAATTTCATAACAAGTTTTATCTTGAATGCGATGTAATCTCGTTTATGAAAATTACTGTAATATTTTCTTTGAAATAAAAAAAAAATTTCAGAGCCCAGACGTGGCGTAATTAAACGACTCTACAATGAGTTTTTTTAATGCGCGTGAATTAATAAACTGCAATTATATTTTCAAAAAAAATATACTGATGATTGTTTATAATAATAATATGCGTACATGTAAACATTTTTACGCATATAATTATATTGATTAATTATAATTAAGAAAAGTAAAAGTGAAATAAATAAATTGAATAAATAAATTAAAATTAATAAAAGTTAATAATTTTCATAAACTAACTTATGCAGCGAAAAATGTGGATTTTTTTGTTAAAAAAATATGTAAAAATTTTGTTTTAGAAATAGCAATGTTTCTGGAGAAAGATCTCCGTTTGATGGTTCATGCTGCAGCGGCCAAGGAGTTGCTGCTGACAGCACAGAAAGTGAAGCTGAAGACGTACCCAAATACCGGGTTGTCCTACTCGGTGATTCTGGAGTCGGAAAAACAGCACTTGTATCGCAATTTATGACGAGCGAGTACATGAATACTTACGACGCAAGTCTCGGTAAGTTTTAACCCACCACCCATTTATTTCGCATGCACTAATTATTTTAATCTACGAGATGGAAGAGGACTTTCGTTTGCTTATCACTTGACCCGTTTCACCTCGAGGAAAAACCCTCTTTTCCATCGTCCTGTCAAAGCCTTCATTTTAGATTTTTTTATCGCTCTCGGCTTTGAGGTGGATTTCCTTTCATTCAAGCGTTGAGTTTTTTTACAAGTGCAGTTTTTGCACTTCATTATGAGACCGGGTAACTTGTACTTGAAACAACTGGGTACAACGACTTGGTGTTTATAGCAGAGAGGATGAATACTCTTCTATTTTTATGAGTCTGTGGGGTTATGAGACCTGGAATTATTGAACACATTCCCAGTTTTATAGGCGATACGAAGGGGCAGTAATCCAGGATTTTACTGCTGGCATATTTACCTTTCAGCTATTCATTCTCCGGATCTGGTTATCCTGAAATATTTAAATTCTACAAAATGTATTTTCAATTTAATTTCCTTTTTATCCTCGCTTGCATAATTCTCCATTTATTTACCCCGTTTCATCACAAGGGGATGACTTTCTCTCTGGATTTTTATATTTTATTATATTT